CATGTGCCATTTCTGATCAAATCAACATCTAAAAAGTTCTTTAGCCTAGTTACAGACAGTGATTTAGACAGAGAGAGAGCCTCTAACTATAACATCACTGTGACCTGCTCTGATGAGGGAGTGCCCTCCCTCTCCAGCAGCGTCACTCTCACATTACAGATCTCTGACATAAATGACAACGCACCTGTCTTTGAGAGGAGCTCATATGAGGCCTATATTATAGAAAACAACACGCCAAGTCTCTCTATATTCACAGTCAAAGCCACAGACGCTGACTGGAACCAGAATGCCCGTGTTTCTTACATACTGGAGGACTCCTCCGTTAACGGAGTGCCAGTCTCTTCATATGTGTCCGTTAGTGCTGATAGTGGAGTCATCCATGCAGTGCGCTCTTTTGACTACGAGCAGATCAAAGATTTCCACTTCCGCGTAAGAGCACAGGATGGAGGCTCTCCTCCACTCAGCAGCAACGTGACTGTGAAAATAATGATCCAGGACCAGAACGACAACCCCCCTCAGGTTCTGTACCCAGTCCAGACTGGTGGCTCTCTGGTGGCTGAAATGGTGCCTCGTTCAGCAGATGTGGGCTATCTGGTGACGAAAGTGGTGGCTGTTGATGTGGACTCTGGACAGAATGCCTGGCTCTCCTATAAACTGCAGAAAGCCACAGACAGGGCGCTGTTTGAAGTGGGCTTACAGAATGGAGAAATCAGAACTATCCGCCAAGTCACTGATAAAGATGCTGTCAAACAGAGACTGACTGTTATAGTGGAGGACAACGGGCAGCCCTCTCGTTCTGCTACAGTCGTTGTTAACGTGGCGGTGGCGGACAGCTTCCCTGAAGTGCTGTCGGAGTTCACTGAGTTGACCCACGACAAGGAGTACAATGACAACCTGACTTTTTACTTAGTCTTGGCTCTGGCTGTAGTTTCCTTCCTCTTCATCACGTGTTTAGTGGTTATTATATCAGTCAAAATCTACAGGTGGAGACAGTCTCGCATCCTGTATCACTCCAACCTGCCTGTCATTCCATATTATCCACCACGTTACTCAGACACTTTGGGGACAGGGACTCTGCCACATGTGTACAATTACGAGGTGTGCAGGACGACTGACTCCAGAAAGAGTGACTGTAAGTTCGGCAGAGCTGGTAGTCAGAACGTGCTGATAATGGACCCCAGTTCTACAGGAACGATGCAGCGGATACAGAGTGAAAAGAGCATCCTGGATGAACCAGACTCTCCTCTAGAGGTTAGCCTCATGAAATGATACATGTTTTTTTCTGCCTTTTATGCTTCATGATATTCTGGAGGTAAATAGACAGACATTCCATTAGATGTTAGGAAACTACATCAGTTACAGTTACAATTTTAAACATAACCAGTATCTTTTAGCGTTGATGCGTTGCAAAGTTTTTATCAACTTACATCGCAGTTCAGCACCACAGACAGCGACACCTTAATTTTTCAACTTCAGCATTCCAGAGTCCTTTTCATTAAGACTGGACATAATTTCTGTAATTCGTGTCAGCTTTAATTTAGGATATATTTATTTTGTAATTGCACAATGTAATTTTTTACTAAGATGTTTCAATATATAATTAAACGATATATGCTGTAAGTTGCAGATATCCTAAAATCTTTAAATTTAGGATACTCGAGGTTTAGATGAGCCTTAATAGCGTGGCTTTACACTGAATTCATTGTTTTTGAGAATGAATTTTGTAATTTGTATTTTTAACTCAAAGGGTCGCTGTTGGCAAGGGTGTTGCGATTTGGCTGGATGTTTTTTATTCCTCTGTGTCTTCCCTTTTGCGTGGAAATATTCGACGTACAGACAGAAAGACTGTTCGGGTTTATAAGAAGCACTGCAAGGAATTCTATACCTGCTTACACCGTTTGATTCTTCTAATTGGAATGCGAACGATTTTTTTTCTGTCTTCATATTCTCTCCATGACAAATGCTTCTTTTTTTTAGTGGAGAAGGAACGGAAATCGGGTCGTGCAGAACAATGAGACGGCAAGTACTGTTGTTTCTCTCAGCCCTATGTCTCAAATACGTGCTCGGGCAGGTCAGCTACTCCATTCCCGAGGAAATGGCCAAAGGCTCTGTAGTTGGAAACATAGCTCATGATTTAGGTTTAGATCTTAAAAGGTTGAAATCAGGTAACGCTCGCGTTTACACGGGCGGCGGTGTAGAATACATCGGGCTGAATAAAGAAAGGGGGGTCCTGCTTGTCCAGCAGCGGATAGACAGAGAGGCTTTATGCGGAGAGACGACGCCTTGTGCCTTACATTTCCAGTTAATTTTGGAAAATCCAATGGAAATGTTTCGGGTAACAGTGGAGGTTACGGACATAAATGATAATACCCCCACTTTTACCAATTCAGAAAAACGTTTCGAAATTAGCGAGTCCGCTGTGATAGGATCGAAATTCGTGTTAGAGAAAGCAGTTGATTCCGACATAGGCATGAATGGTTTACAACAGTACTCACTTGCGCCAAGTGATCATTTTGTATTAAAATTAGAAAGTCAGCCAGACGGAACTAAAAAGGTGGAAATGGTTCTACAGAGGACTTTAGACCGAGAAAAGAAGGATTATTTGTCCCTGCTGTTAACTGCCATGGATGGAGGAGAGCCGCAGATGTCAGGGACAATGCAGATATTTGTCACTGTATTAGATGCGAATGATAATGCACCGACATTTGCCAAACCGTTATATAGAGCAAAACTGCAGGAAAATTCTCCTAAAGGCACCAGTGTTACAACTGTAAGTGCATCTGATAAAGACATCGGTTCAAACGGAGAATTATCATATCTGATATCTACGAGCAAACGTGTTCTATCTGAACTGTTTAATATCAATCCAAAGACTGGTGAAATTATCCTAGTCGGGGAAATAGATTATGAAAAAGCAAACTCTTATCAAATTGATATTGAAGTTGTAGACAGCGGTGGGCTCTCTGATTCAGCGAAAGTGATAGTTGATCTCATTGATGTAAATGACAATAGTCCTCAAATAAACATCGTTTCTAAATCAGAGTCCATATCAGAGAACTCACCAACAAATACTGTAATTGCTATGTTAAGCATAAACGATCCAGATTCCGAGAATAATGGGAATGTTGTGTGTGATATAAATGATAGCATTCCCTTCAAAATACAGACTACTATAAATGGGTTTTATACCCTAGTTATGGAGGTTGCTTTAGACAGAGAAATGGCTTCGCAATATAATATCACTGTGACCTGCTCTGATGAGGGAGTGCCCTCCCTCTCCAGCAGCGTCACTCTCACCTTACAGATCTCAGATGTTAATGATAACGCACCTGTCTTTGAGAGGAGCTCATATGAGGCCTACATTGTAGAAAACAATACACCTGGTCTCTCTATATTCACAGTCAAAGCAACAGACGCTGACTGGAACCAGAACGCCCGTGTTTCTTACATACTGGAGGACTCCTCCGTTAACGGAGTGCCAGTCTCCTCGTATGTGTCCGTTAGTGCAGATAGTGGAGTGATCCATGCAGTGCGCTCTTTTGACTACGAGCAGATCAAAGATTTCCACTTCTGCGTAAAAGCGCAGGATGGAGGCTCTCCTCCACTCAGCAGCAACGTGACTGTGAAAATAATGATCCAGGACCAGAACGACAACCCCCCTCAGGTTCTGTACCCAGTCCAGACTGGTGGATCTCTGGTGGCTGAAATGGTGCCTCGTTCAGCAGATGTGGGTTATCTGGTGACGAAAGTGGTGGCTGTTGATGTGGACTCTGGACAGAATGCCTGGCTCTCCTATAAACTGCAGAAAGCCACAGACAGGGCGCTGTTTGAAGTGGGCTTACAGAATGGAGAAATCAGAACTATCCGCCAAGTCACTGATAAAGATGCTGTCAAACAGAGACTGACTGTTATAGTGGAGGACAACGGACAGCCTTCTCGTTCAGCTACAGTTGTTGTTAACGTGGCGGTGGCGGACAGCTTCCCTGAAGTGCTGTCGGAGTTCACTGAGTTGACACACGACAAGGAGTACAATGACAACCTGACTTTTTACTTAGTCTTGGCTCTGGCTGTAGTTTCCTTCCTCTTCATCACGTGTTTAGTGGTTATTATATCAGTCAAAATCTACAGGTGGAGACAGTCTCGCATCCTGTATCACTCCAACCTCCCTGTCATTCCATATTATCCACCACGTTACTCAGACACTTTGGGGACAGGGACTCTGCCACATGTTTACAATTACGAGGTGTGCAGGACGACTGACTCCAGAAAGAGTGACTGTAAGTTCGGCAGAGCTGGTAGTCAGAACGTGCTGATAATGGACCCCAGTTCTACAGGAACGATGCAGCGGATACAGAGTGAAAAGAGCATCCTGGATGAACCAGACTCGCCTCTAGAGGTTAGTTATATAATGATCTTGCCAATTTTGAAGCGTAAACTTTTTTTTTCTGTTCCTCATAGTTTTTACTAAGAACCAACTAGCGCTAGTCAAGAGTCAGCACCATGGACAGAGGCACGTTACTTGTTCCATCGCTTTTGACAATGGGTGTCTATCTTAACGTATTGATGTTTTGTCAACATGTGAAGGTATGTTAGTATTTGACGTTTAGTTATTGGTGATGGTGTAAAATTTGAACATAAATCGTTTCGTCTCTTTTTGCCAAGACACGTCGAAAGACTGTAACTCAATATAAACTTGGCGGGGGTGGGGGAGCTATCTATGTCATGTATTTCGCTTTGTTGAATTTGTGACAGTATTTTTAAGTAACTCGTCACATATCATCATGACTTAATAGTTCAGTTCAGTGGTATACGTAAAGAATATAGACTCTGTTATCTGTTCAACTAAAATACTTTATAAGGGAACTAGTATTCTCTAGTGTTGCAGACGTTAACTCTTTTATGGGCTGTGTTATCCTGGTATTTGTAAAAACAATAAGCCTTCGTGCACAACAGAGTTTTCCTTTAGTTTTCCAGGCGTTTTCTGTAGTTCCTAATTATGTACTCGTAGGGCCGCTGTTGGCCAGTGTGTTGATATTTCAGGGCACATTTAAAGAGAAACCTCGCTCGCCATAATGATATCACAGAGAGAAAGACGTCGTGTTCAAACGTCGGAGATCATTTTAACTAGAGCCGTTTTCAACCTTTCTTTAACCGATTCAAATAGTTTCGGAGTGATGTCTGTGTTTTATCACCTGTAAGGGACATTCGGTAATTGTGGATAATAGTTTTTTCCTGCTAATTTTCCAGGGGAACAGTTCGAACAGAACAATGAAATGGCAAGCGCTGTTGTTTTCCTTGGTCTTTTATCTCGGTCCAGTCATCGGCCAAATCAGCTACTCTATTCCCGAGGAGATGCCGAGTGGCTCTTTAGTCGGTAATATTGCCCAGGATTTGGGTTTGGATACAAAACGACTGAAATCTGGAAGAGCTCGCGTTTATACGGGAGACGGTGTGGAATATATTGAGCTAAACGGGGAACGCGGACTTCTTCTAATCAAAGAGAGGATCGACAGAGAAGCGATTTGCAGGCAGACAACACCTTGTGCTTTACATTTTCAGATCATTTTAGAAAACCCTATGGAGTTTTACAGTGTCACAGTCGAGATTATAGACATAAATGACAACCCCCCCACCTTTGAGAAAAGCGAGGTAACCTTTAAAATCAGTGAATCTGCTGTAATCGGAGGAAAATTTGTTCTGGACAGAGCAATTGATCTTGATGTCGGCAAAAATGGTCTTCAGAAATATGAGCTTAAACCTACCGATAATTTTGTACTGAAAGGGGACAGTCAAGGTAGTGGAACGGAAAAGGCTGAAATGATTTTACAGAAGCCTCTTGACAGAGAAAAGGAAGAGTCGATATCACTAGTTCTAACAGCCTTTGATGGCGGAGATCCGCAAATGTCAGGTACAATTCGAATTTTCATCACGGTATTAGATGTTAATGATAATGCGCCTGTCTTCACGCAGTCCACCTACACAGCCACTGTTTTTGAAAACGCCCCGGAAGGGACAGTTGTCACGAGTGTTAGTGCGTCAGATGCAGATCATGGATCAAATGGTAGAATAAAATATTCCATTACAAACAGTTTAGATCAAGCGCATGCCTTGTTTCAGATACATGAAGAAAGTGGAGAAATAAAATTAATTGGAAACATTGATTATGAAAATGCACGAAATTACCATATTAACATACGTGCAAGTGATGATGGTGGACTTACAGATTCGTGCAAAGTTATCGTTGAAGTGGTGGATATAAACGACAACAAGCCAACGATTAATATAATGTCAAAATCAAATATGATATCTGAACACTCTAAACCTAACACTGTTGTTGCGATGATGAATGTTCAAGACCCAGATTCAAATGAAAACGGTAAAGTCCACTGTTTTATCAATGATAATACACATTTGTCTATTAAGTCAGCATCTAATAATTTCTACAGCTTAGTAACAGACAGTGATTTAGACAGAGAGAGAGCCTCTGAGTATAACATCACTGTGACCTGCTCTGATGAGGGAGTGCCCTCCCTCTCCAGCAGCGTCACTCTCACCTTACAGATCTCAGACGTTAATGATAACGCACCTGTCTTTGAAAGGAGCTCATATGAGGCCTACATTGTAGAAAACAACACACCAGGTCTTTCTATATTCACAGTGAAAGCCACAGACGCTGACTGGAACCAGAATGCCCGTGTTTCTTACATACTGGAGGACTCCTCCGTTAACGGAGTGCCAGTCTCCTCGTATGTGTCCGTTAGTGCTGATAGTGGAGTTATCCATGCAGTGCGCTCTTTTGACTACGAGCAGATCAAAGATTTCCACTTCCTCGTAAAAGCGCAGGATGGAGGCTCTCCTCCACTCAGCAGCAACGTGACTGTGAAAATAATGATCCAGGACCAGAACGACAACCCCCCTCAGGTTCTGTACCCAGTCCAGACTGGTGGATCTCTGGTGGCTGAAATGGTGCCTCGTTCAGCAGATGTGGGTTATCTGGTGACTAAAGTGGTGGCTGTTGATGTGGACTCTGGACAGAATGCCTGGCTCTCCTATAAACTGCAGAAAGCCACAGACAGGGCGCTGTTTGAAGTGGGCTTACAGAATGGAGAAATCAGAACTATCCGCCAAGTCACTGATAAAGATACTGTCAAACAAAGACTGACTGTTATAGTGGAGGACAACGGACAGCCCTCTCGTTCAGCTACAGTTGTTGTTAACGTGGCGGTGGCGGACAGCTTCCCTGAAGTGCTGTCGGAGTTCACTGAGTTGACCCACGACAAGGAGTACAATGACAACCTGACTTTTTACTTAGTCTTGGCTCTGGCTGTAGTTTCCTTCCTCTTCATCACGTGTTTAGTGGTTATTATATCAGTCAAAATCTACAGGTGGCGACAGTCTCGCATCCTGTATCACTCCAACCTCCCTGTCATTCCATATTATCCACCACGTTACTCAGACACTTTGGGGACAGGGACTCTGCCACATGTGTACAACTACGAGGTGTGCAGGACGACTGACTCCAGAAAGAGTGACTGTAAGTTCGGCAGAGCTGGTAGTCAGAACGTGCTGATAATGGACCCCAGTTCTACAGGAACGATGCAGCGGATACAGAGTGAAAAGAGCATCCTGGATGAACCAGACTCTCCTCTTGAGGTTAGACTTACATGCTGATATTTCATACTTTTGGAATCTTTGCACTGTTTTCGATCTGTCAAGTGGCTTATGACTTTTTCAGTATCTAGGTTCATTTGTGCTTTCTTATTTGTTTTGTTACCACATGTCAGTGTCAATCAGTACAGACTGCATATATTCCATGTGCTTGTCTTTGGAGTTTTAGCATTACTACCTGTAGGAGCCATATGTTAGTCTTTCCTTTTTTTGATTAAGAGGGTTGGTTTAAGTTCACACACTGTATTGGTGCACCGTTGTGGGGCGAGACTCACGGGTGTGTATTAGATGATAAATGTCGTTGCACTCTCCTGTTCACCGCACCTGCAGTTTAATGAGCAAAAAGGTAGGGTGAGCATGAGGGGAGACTTTATGTTGACCACAGCTTGACGTATAGTTTAATGCACTAGTTGATGCCATAGTCTGATGTTGCAGTTTGACATAACAATTGGTGTAATATTTTTTGAGTTGCAGTCATGTTTGTTTGTGCAGTCTCTGCATTTGTAATACATTGGATCCTATGTACTCATTTGTGGGTTTGGACATTACAATGTGGAATAAAAGGAACAAATAGCTCAGAGGTGCATTTTATGTGTTTATTGTTGCGTGTAGTCAGTATCCTCATGTTTAGCCTGCCACGGCCGTTGGTGTTGGAGGAGCCACAACCCCACCAGTGAATATGCTTACATAAAGTCACTAACCTTTGAACCTATTAGGCATGAGGTATGACGCATTAGTTTTAATTATTAAAACACTTAAATGGTTACATTGTCAGTTGTGTAATATAATCTAATCTGTAACAGGTTAGATTATCTAAAAGCTTTAAAGTTTACTAGTCGTCATAATAATAATAATAATAATAATAATAATAATAATAATAATAATAATAATAATAATAATAATAGTTGTTGTTTTTGTTTTCTATGAGCATCATCATCATCACCCTCATTCCAGATTTTGCTGTTTGGTCTGTTGAACAGAAAGGGCCGCTATTGGCTCGAGTATGGCAGCATTCGTCAACGCTGAAAAATGTACCTCCCCTTTAGATTTGCACACTGGTAGACAATGAAACGCACAGTAACCGCCTGTTCTCTTTTATAAGGAATACCGCTTACGGAGATCGAAAAGTTATTCTTTTTTCGCTGAAACTGTCTTTGAGATATGGTCGGAATTATTATCATGATTCGTGTGGATTGCAGTTTTATTAAAAGGACACAGGATTATCCCTGCAAAGCAATGAGGCGGCAAGTACTGTTGTTCTTCTTGGTTTTCTTTCTCACCTCGGTGTTCGGGCAGGTCAGTTACTCCATTCCTGAGGAAATGGAGAAAGGGTCTTTAGTGTGTAATGTGGCTCAGGATTTAGGTTTAGACATTAAAAGGCTGAAATCCGGCAGAGCGCGCGTTCATTCTGGAGATAGTGCCGAATATATTGAGCTAAATAGAGACCGTGGTGTCCTCCTTATAAAAGAAAGGATAGACAGAGAAACGCTGTGTGGCGACACGACGCCCTGTGCTTTACTTTTACAGATGATTCTGGAAAATCCGATGGAACTGTTTCGAATAACAATAGAAATCACAGATATTAATGACAATGCTCCCAGCTTTGCATCGAGCGAAAAGCGCTTCGAAATCAGCGAGTCAACCATCATTGGGTCTAAATTTGTGCTGGAGAAAGCCATCGATGCTGACATCGGTACAAATGGTCTCCAGAGCTATTCCCTTAATCCAACAAAAAACTTTGCGCTGAAATTAGAGAACCAAGCGGATGGGAGTAAGAAGGTGGAAATGATTCTACAGAAGCCTCTGGATCGAGAGCAAGATCAACATATATTGTTATTATTAACTGCTCAGGATGGCGGGCAGCCGCGTATGTCAGGTACAATGCAGATCACTGTTAACGTATTGGATGCAAACGACAATGCACCAATTTTCACTAAGCCAGTATATAAAGCAACAATAACCGAGAATTCACCGGCTGGAACCAGCGTTATAACTGTTAGAGCATCTGACAAAGATGGAGGCTCTAACGGGGAAATATCATACGCAATTTCAAACAGCAAACGTCGTTTGTCCGATTTATTTCAGATTGATAGAAAAACTGGAGAGGTTATCGTGATCGGTCAAATAGACTATGAAAAAACGAAGCTCTTCCAAATAGATATAGAAGCTACGGACAATGGTGGGCTCTCTGATTCCAGTAAGATTCTCTTAGATGTTACTGATGTCAATGACAACAGCCCTCAGCTGAAAATACTCTCTAAGTCAGATGCCATTTTAGAAGACTCGCCTGAGAGTACTGTAATTGCAATGCTAAGCGTGAATGACCCTGACTCTGACAGGAATGGAGAGGTGAAGTGTAATATTAATGATAATGCTCCTTTTAAAATACTTAATACCATGAATGGCTTTTACAATTTGCTGACAGAGGTTGCTTTAGACAGAGAAGTTGCGTCTCATTATAATATCACTGTGACCTGCACTGATGAGGGAGTGCCCTCTCTTTCCAGCAGTGTCACTCTCACCTTACAGATCTCAGACGTTAATGATAACGCACCTGTCTTTGAGAGAAGCTCATATGAGGCCTATATTGTAGAAAACAACACACCAGGTCTCTCTATATTCACAGTGAAAGCAACAGACGCTGACTGGAATCAGAATGCCCGTGTTTCTTACGTACTGGAGGACTCCTCCGTTAACGGGGTGCCAGTCTCCTCGTATGTGTCCGTTAGTGCTGATAGTGGAGTCATCCATGCAGTGCGCTCTTTTGACTACGAGCAGATCAAAGATTTCCACTTCAGCGTAAAAGCGCAGGATGGAGGCTCTCCTCCACTCAGCAGCAACGTGACTGTGAAAATAATGATCCAAGACCAGAACGACAACCCCCCTCAGGTTCTGTACCCAGTCCAGACTGGTGGCTCTCTGGTGGCTGAAATGGTGCCTCGTTCAGCAGATGTGGGCTATCTGGTGACGAAAGTGGTGGCTGTTGATGTGGACTCTGGACAGAATGCCTGGCTCTCCTATAAACTGCAGAAAGCCACAGACAGGGCGCTGTTTGAAGTGGGCTTACAGAATGGAGAAATCAGAACTATCCGCCAAGTCACTGATAAAGATGCTGTCAAACAAAGACTGACTGTTATAGTGGAGGACAACGGACAGCCCTCTCGTTCAGCTACAGTCATTGTTAACGTGGCGGTGGCGGACAGCTTCCCTGAGGTGCTGTCGGAGTTCACTGAGTTGACCCACGACAAGGAGTACAATGACAACCTGACTTTTTACTTAGTCTTGGCTCTGGCTGTAGTTTCCTTCCTCTTCATCACGTGTTTAGTGGTTATTATATCAGTCAAAATCTACAGGTGGAGACAGTCTCGCATCCTGTATCACTCCAACCTGCCTGTCATTCCATATTATCCACCACGTTACTCAGACACTTTGGGGACAGGGACTCTGCCACATGTGTACAATTACGAGGTGTGCAGGACGACTGACTCCAGAAAGAGTGACTGTAAGTTCGGCAGAGCTGGTAGTCAGAACGTGCTGATAATGGACCCCAGTTCTACAGGAACGATGCAGCGGATACAGAGTGAAAAAAGCATCCTGGATGAACCAGACTCTCCTCTGGAGGTTAGAATAATTATTACATCACAAATGGCACAATATATCTTTATAACTTGTTATTTTAGTTATTCTTTCTTTTTTTTCAGCACCTTGGAGAGCAACATGTAACGATATAATTTAGCTTGATATGAAAAAGACTGCTACGTATTTAATGTGATCTGAGGATCGTTTTCAACTTTTGTGAGATTCTTCTTTTATTTTAGACAGTTTTTATATACAATGTTATACACACCATTTAAATTTAAGTGGCTTTCTGGGTATTTACACTTTTGTCGTCTTTCTACATACATACATCTATTCGCTTCCGCTTATCCTTTTCGGGGTTGCGGGGGTGCTGAACCTTATCCCAGCTGTCATAAGCCGAGAGGCGGGGTACACCCTGGACAATAACTTGTTATTTTAGTTAATCTTTGTTTTCTTCAGCACCTTAGAGAGTAACATGTATAAGTATATCATTTAGTTTGTTATGAAAAAACTGCTACGTATTTAACATTATTTGGGGATGGTTTTCAACTTTTGTGAGATTCTTCTGACTCTCCTCTGGAGGTTAGTTAAAAATGATTTGGCCAACTTTGAAGTGTTAACTTTTTTTCTGTCTGAACCAGATCGGTGATTCTGTTCATCTTGACGTAGCGTTTCAGTGGGAGAAAGGTTTTGTCGCTCATCCAAGTGACTTCTTCAGTTCCTAGGAACGAACCTCCCAGCCCATTGTTCCTTCAGTGGTGCTAGTTTCAGTCATTATGCAAATGTACTGCTTATAAGATTGGGGAAATCTGCAGTCAGCTGAGACTGATGAGTGACGAAACGTTTGTCCCACTGAAAACGTTATGTCCAGATGAACAGAATTAACTTTTGAGGATTTGCTTACCTGGATGATTGAGCATGCATCAAGATGTCTGCACCAGACTTGTGTTTCTGGATGAACCAGACTCTGCTATAGAGGTCTGTCTTTTGGGTTTAATATATATTTTTTAATCTGCGTGTATGCGTGAGGTACTATTCTGTGAAAAATAAACGCGAGTCCAACAGCGATTCAGCACCTTGGACAGTGACAAATAGGGCACAGTTCTACATTGTTAGTCCTTTTTATGCGCCTCTTGTAAATTCTTTTTTTTTTTCAACAATCTCTCGTTTTCATTCTGTGTGAATGAATTTCCATTGTTACGTTCATTCCAGTGTTGCTTAAGATGAGAAAACGCCGTTTGGTTTTTCTGTCATCCTCCTCATTTTCATTATAGACACGCGCTTTCTTTTTTCTGCTTCTTTTTTGTCCTTCTTCTTCTACTGTTTGCGTCGTGTACTTTCACCTTGTGAACTCATCGCGCCGCTGTTGCACAATGTGTCAAGTTATTGACTCTCTTTAACAACAC